AATATATATATGATATACTCTATATATATATATATATATATATATATATATATATATACATGTACATATTTTTCAAATATATACAGTACATGTATGTTTGTGTATTTATATATTCATAATAAATATACACAGTACACACATTTTATTTTGGATGTGATTAATCGCGATTAATCGTTTGACAGCACTAGTTTTAACATTTTTTATTAAATGTGAGCGATTATTTTCTGTGCAGAAGTCGCTGTCACACCTTAGTAAGGTGTTATCAGTGGTTGCCATGAGTTTGCTATAAGGTTACTAAGATATCTGAGTGTTTTTTAATGTGTTACTATGCAGTTAGTCGGAGTGTTGCTTGGTGCCTGTTTACTGGCCTAAGTCTAAAAAATTCCACCCCCAAGGCTCTAGATATAGCTCGGGTCCATAGGATTTTTTTTTTTTTTTTCATCCATTATATTGTCCGCCAGGCAAAATTTGCAAGTCAGATCGATTCGAAAAGTAGCAGCACACCTCTCCACAACAAGCCGCATGATTTGAGCGGTCATTCATCTCAATAATTATGTTTAGGGGTTGTTTGAATCCTTAATCCTAAATATGAGCAATGAGGTTGGACAGGATTTTTCATTCTTTCATTTGAAGCATTTCACAGTGGCTACAGGTTGTAGCTGTACAGCCTGTACAGCTATGCAGCATAAGTAAATATTAAGTGCTAGTGCTCACCTTTAAAGGAGTTAGATGGATATTTACAGTGCGAGTGTTGAGTGCGGTGGCCATGAGACGGCATTGATTAAGCTGTTTGAAATGATAATTACCTTTAAATGGCTAAGCACAGGAATTTGGCAGCCACTCCATCTCTGGCAGAATTGCTTTTTCTGTAGAATCTGGAGGAGGAGAGCCAGAGAAATAAACAGTGAACACAAGATAAGGAACAGGTCAACAAAGCACCGGTCTCAGCACATTGGTAATGGAGAGCTGTATAAAGAAATAAATTGTGGTACAACATGCCACATTTACTCAAGAGATGAGAAACTGTGTGGGCTGTTGTCTGTATGTCCACTGGAAAGACTTGCTTTGAAAATGACATCCAGTCGCTGCTTATTATACTGTTATTGGGCATATGTTGTTCTATCTATCTATCTATCTATCTATCTATCTATCTAGTTGTGTGTTTGTGCAAATGTGAGCTGGGGCTCTTGGGAGTTGTAGTTGTCATGAGTGTTTGTCTAAAGGGAGCAGCTGCCACTGATGGCTTCAGTTCTGGATGAACAGGTGTGCAATTCCCTAGCAACTACTCAAACTCTTCAGCAACTGCCTAGCAACCACACCGTGAGAACTGCCTAGCAACACCTTAGGAACCCACCCAGAACATACTAGCAGTTTTGTAACTGCCTAGTAACCACTCAGAAGACAAGTGCTGCATCCGAAATTTAATACTTCCCTACTATATGCGAAAAACAGTATGCCAAAAGAATAGTATGTCCAAATTAGTATTCGGAAAAAAGTAGGTGAAAAATACCTTAGTGACCTGCCACCTCCGCCCAGATTCTGAAGCGCACAGTCAATGGTCACTTTACTATCCCATGAGGCCACGGGAAAGGATTGTGAATGCCAGTGAAGCAACACAACTGACGCTTGTAGGTTACGTGACAGTAACAACATGGCGGTTGAAGTATGATCGAATTTCAAACTACCCATATTCACACTAAATAGAAAATTTTCAAAGTGTTTGATGAGTAGTCAAAAAAAAACAAAAAAACTTTCCAGCAGCTCCATACTCTCTCTCTTTCTCTCTCTCTCTCTCTCTCTCTCTCTCTCTCTCTCTCTCTCTCTCTGTCTCTCTCTCTCTCTCACACAAACACACACACACAAAAACACACACAGACATTTTCAAATGTCCACAGATGGTGTCACTGAACAGAAAGTGCTGTCATCCTGTCTCATTCAACTCATTCTTCTCTATTAATGAGCACTGGCAGGCCCGAGGTGCCATCAGGACTGTAAATTCATTCAGAAATCTCATCAGACTGTTATATTAGCAGAAATTCCATTGAGCTTTCTTTGTAGCAGGCCGTTATGAAATCTGATATCTCACAACATTCTAAATTTGCGGTTTCACAAGATTCATAATGCCTTTTATATTGTATTCCAATATATGCTAAAACAACTGATGTTTAGAGAAATACACGCTTGCTTGTGCAAAACTTGTTAAGTTATAAGTGTGTTGAAAATAGGCAGACTCTTGGCCCTTTTAAGACTATCGTAATGATAGTCTTTCATAGTTTTATTTGCATTTGCTAAATTGTGTACATTTTGTGTTTGTATTTAAATGTTTGATAATACTATATTTTACTGTCTTTGTAACACGTTACATGTAATTACCATAGTAGTAACTAACCCTAAACCAAACCCTAACCATAACTCTAACCCTATCCCTATTGTTAAATGCATATTGTTAATAAACTGTAGGATGCACAAGGTTATATAAGGGCTTGTTTTGGAAGCTCTTTGATGTCAGTGATAAAGTGTGTGTCCAGTGCAATCATGCTCCAAAGCCCAAGGTGTGACATTGATTATTTTAGAGTATTTTATCATGTACTTCAACAATCTGCCCTTCTTTCCCACTTTCCTACCTTTAGATTTCTAAATCAACTGTTGTCGTGGTAACTGGTCCCTCCGTCTCTGGAATAATGAGCTCCTCAGCCCACATGTCCCGTTCCTCCATTGACATCCTGGAAGAGCTGCAGCTCATCACTGCTGAGAACCTGGAGAAGCTGGACTTTAATAAGTACTACGAGGTCATCAGGGAGCTTGGCAAGGGAACCTATGGCAAGGTGGACCTGGTCATCCACAAGATCAGAGGTAGGTTGAAGGAGATGGACAGGATGGCTTGGCTTACAGGCCTTAGTCATGAAGCACCAAATACATTTTGACAGGAATGAAAACGAGGCTGTGAGGGGAAGAAGTACAGTGTATTCAACATTGGGCGTTCAACAACATTGCCAGTTGCTCAGCTGATGAAACATCTTTCTAAACTACTTTCAGTAGACAAAAACTCCATTCAAAAAGTTTTGAAAATTGCATGCGACCTTTATACAGTGTGTGCTATTTTAAAGACCGTTAACAACCTCGTTTTCATCCATGTAAAATTCAATATGGTGGTGCATATCCTGAGTAGGTCTATTTGATAGAGTTGTATGTTATTCAAATATTATATATATTTATATCTTGACCATGATTAAGTATTTCATATCTTTCACCTAAATATTAAGTGATGTCTAGGACAAACAATTGGGATATGAAAGAGATCTCATTTGTGGGAAATGTTCCCATTCAACGAACAACGAATGTTTGTATGCAAAAATTAAATCCAGCTACACTTACAAACACACACAGGCACATATTTCTCTCCGTCCTGTGAAATCATGCATTATTTATCAGTCATATATCATATTTTCAAGATCCCGTAGATCAAGCGATTACTGCGCAGCTCACGGCTATCAACGTGCGCTTTCGCACTAGAGCTTTTGGAGTGGACACGAGTCCATCTGACTTCGGAGTTTAGTTTGTTTTAGTAGCGCAAAAAAGGTTTCATGAAGTCTGCTGAGTTCGTATGAACTAACACAAAAATGCTGCAGTTCAGGAATCAAAAGCACAACACGAAGACCTGCAGGGGTGGAATCAAACTCAATAGCCGTACTATTACAGGATGTCCATATGCTGTTCTCCCATGAAAAGGTAGCTGGTGAAGCAGTGCTGATGAATGACCAAAGAAGTCTTGCTGGTTTTGCTAATCAAGAAACCTTGTTGGAACACCAGCAACCCATTCTGGGAACTTCCAACCAAACCACAACATACTGAATGATGGTGACCATTAATCATTAGACGATCATGAAGGAATACCTTAATCAAGAAACCTTGTTGGAACACCAGCAACCCATTCTGGGAACCTCCAACCAAACCACAACATACTGAATGATGGTGACCATTAATCATTAGACGATCATGAAGGAATACCTAAAAAAACAACCACATGCTCCCAGCTACCTTTTCAGCCTTTTTCAAGATGTCCACACATTCTGATCAAGACGTCATGTTTACATTTCTGTTTAGAAGTGCAGTGATGTATTCCAGCCTATAAAGTGCATCCTCCGTTTGGCTTGTGCATCCTTCAGATTTCAAAGAGATGCAAAACACACCATCTGTCAGCATTCAAAATCCCCATCCATCTACACCTCATTTATTATTCACAGAAGTACTGGCCATACTAAGAGGATGGATGCTGCAGTGCACTGTGGGGGCAGTTCCAGGAATCCTCAATCCTGCTGGCCTCAGCAGAACTCGTGTGCTGTCGTAACATTTACATTTCAGGATATCTGCTCCAATACCTGACAGTTATTGCATGTGTATTATGGGATGCCCCTCAGAGGAAGAATGTGTTTACCAGCTAGGATATCACTAGAGGAGTAAATTGAATTTGTGTATGTCATTTTCCATTTGTAGCTTGCTTTAAGCGTTCCTCTGATCTTGACGGTTTCATAATGTTTGTGGGAATACTCAGACTGTAATTAAATGCTGAAACCCGGAGGCCTGTATTCCAGTGTACTCACAAAAGTTGCCAAAATGAACTTTTAGCATATATTTGTGTTTAAAACGTATAGCTTGTCTCTTCCAGAAAACATTGAACACAGTATCTGCTGCTCAGGGTTGTATACCACTCCGTTCTCTATAAATGAGAATGACCCCTCTCTTTAATACTGCATTTCATCCAAATGTAGGATACTCCTATGTTTGACTTGTGACCATTATGATGTTCTATTGCCTGATGCTTCTGTAAAGAAACTAGATGACAGCGCTATTGTTTCTGTAGTGCACTCGGACATCTCCTAGCAACAAAACTGCAGAGGTGCATCTGTTCAGCAGGTGTACTATTATCAGCAGGAAAGATTATTTACCGTGTTTTAAACACCTGTTCATGCAAATGTTTGCTGAACAGGTTATATTATCATGTAATGTAGGAACTTGGACTAATTTCATTTTCTTAAAAGTGAATGTTCATCATTAACTGATGTCATACACCTGCAACTTGGCAAAATGAGGGTTGTAGATTTCTGCATAATTTCCCAAGTTGAAAGTCTGAGTTAAAGTAGAGTTAAATCACACTTTCCACAAAGTGGTACACAACTGATGATGTGTCACACTAGTGTGAAGATCTGGTTTCGGCTTTGCCTCGTTGGCAGCTGCGGTGTGAATTATTGTAGAGCTGGAATGTTGTTGTGTTTTTTTCCTCAGGAGTGCAACTACAAGTCAACCCACTTAAGTAGACTGCAGCTTAAGTAGACTTCTACACTTAAGTAGACTTCGGTGTACTGAATTGTTAGGGATTGTAACACCTAGTCCTATAAAGAAAAACTAAAATTTCCAAGTATATTCAGAATGGAATGCAGCATAATATCAACTGCAACTAACTAGCATTTATAAAAATTATGGTTTACTAGGTTCTGATAAAGAAAAAGCCTTTTGGCTATGTAAAAAATGACAATTCCTTGATATATGTATATAGAGGAAATATGTCAAAAAGGGAAGATCATGGGATCTTTAATTGCACAGAGGACTACTCTGTAGTATATCAGCACACCAGAAACAATATATATATATATATATGCATGTAAGGTTGAGATTGCATTCTGTGTTCATCTGCAAATGATAATGCTACAGTTCCCAGTAAGGTTCCACCTACTGTGTCCCAGATTGACTGTCATGTGCAGGTGCAACTGTCGACTGTGTTTATAATGAAGGTCCTTTGTGAAGGCCTTTATCTTAGCTGCACAGACTATCTGTTGTGTTATGTAATAACAAAGTTGGGGGCAGGGGATCCTCTTGCCATTTGACCTTCCTTTCAAGTGCTTAGCAGCTGCTAACCCTCTGCAGTGTTATGCAAAGGACTTCAGTAGTGACTCTTAGGCAAAATCTCAAAATGTCGTTTTGTTCAAGATGTTGACGAGAGCATGTGAATGACAATCACAGTTTGTGTCATTTAGGGATAAGTAAATCCGAAAGATGATGCCTCAGTAATAGACTGCCAGTAAACAATACTCATTCAAAATTTTGGTTATCAATGGGCTGATGGAAACCTGTCTATGGTTGACTTACTGGTGGAAGTCATTTGATGCACTGATGAAGTAAAACGTTTTTCTGAAAGGAAAAAGTGCTGGTGGGACTGATGACATAATATGAGTTGAACAATGCAATTAATCAAACTTGTGTAGCTAGAAGCGTTTGCATACTTTCATGGCCTAATACTTTCAATAAGCAAAAAAAAAAAAAAAAAAAAAAAAAAACAGAAAATGGTCCCACTTTATATTAAGTGTCCCTAATACCTGTGTACTTACATAGTAACTAGATGTGTACATAGTATGTAACCACAGTGTAAGTACACATTGGTACATAGTATCTACAGCTCTAATGTTTGTTTAACTACACATACGTAACAAGCCACTGAATGGTATGTGTAAGTACAAATGTGTAACAGGTTGTTACCAATGTCCTGTTACACATTTGTACTTACACAAACCATCCTGAGGGTTGTTACATGTGTGTAGTTACAGAAATATTACAGCTGTAGATACTATGTACCAATGTGTACTTACACTGTGGTTACATACTACGTACACATTTAGTTACTATGCAAGTACACAGGTATTAGGGACACTTAATATAAAGTGAGACCCAGAAAATAGATTCATGTTATTGGAACTTGCTTGGAAAGTGCTGTTCCCTTGTAAATTGATTTCCCACATTAATACATGACCTGACATTGTCTTGGCGTGACATTTAAAAGAGCACGTTGCGATCTTGCAAGTAGGCCATTAGCTCTGTGTCAGCGACAGAATAATCAGGAATGTATTAAAAGCCAAGCAATGTTAACCTCTACCTCTCTCTTTTTTCCTCCAGGCACGAAAATGGCCTTGAAATTCTTGCGGAAGAAAACCACTAAGCTGAAGAGTTTCCTACGCGAGTACAGCATCTCTCTCTACCTGTCACCTTGTCCTTTCATCATCAACATGTTTGGCATTGCCTTTGAAACTGACGAATATTACATCTTCGCTCAAGAGTATGCACTGGCAGGCGATCTCTTTGACATCATTCCTCCCCAGGTGAGAGAACGAGAACGAGAATCGTTACTTATTAGATATATTCATATTGTGCTACTTTGCACATATGCTTATGCAGTGCTTTGAGTCCAAAAAGAAAGCATTAAAATTATTCTGTTCTAAACTGAAAACTAGGTTGTAACATTGTGGGTGGTTGCCAGGGTGTAGTTGGTCATCCCAGGCTCACTAAAAATACGTGCTTGTGGCGAAGTTTCTGCAACACAATATTGCATGTTTCGCAGCAGTTTAAAAGTGAAATGTCCAGTGAGTGGCGTTAAAACGTGCATTCAGTATGGGATTGTGGCCATGTTTTTATTACGTTGCTTCAGGCACATATTGTGGCAGCTCAGAATTCAAATGTCCGGGGAGTGATGCTAAAAGGTAATCCTCTATCGTGTTGGAAAATAACATACCCCCTAGACCAAACCCAACCCTAAACCTACCCCATAGTGTTAAATGGGTCATCGGATGCTACATGCACTTTTACAAGTTGTTTGAACTGAAATGTGTGTTGGCAGTGTGTGTACACCACCACCCTATAATGATAAAAATCCACCCAGCGTTTTCTTTTTAATCTACTAAAATCTTTACCCCTTTCTCAAATCGAGCCGATCTCAGATGCCTGTCTGTGTGACGTCACAAAAACAGGCCCCTCCCACGATAGTTTGATTGACAGCGTTTCAGCACAGACTGGACTGGCGTCTTACCTTAGCTCCGCCCTGAGTGAGCTGTCATCAGTCCACCATTGTTTCACCGCCGGAGCAGTTGTAGACAAGAATGACTCCTAACCGATTGAGGTTTTATTGTTGAATGTAATAATGAACATAGCAGTCGTCATTCCGACATCTGAGCCGCTGAAGACGCAGTAGATTACGTTTGTTTTTGAAGGAAATGCGCCCCCGATTTACCTAAATATGTCTATGTTCGTGCGAATCATTCGTGATCCAGCTTCACCT